CTAACCCTAACCCTAACCCTAACGCTTAACGTAACCCTAAACCTAACCCTAACCCTTAACCTAACCCTAACCCTTACCTTTACGTGAATCGGCTTGCTTTCAAAGCGCTTTTTAAAATCTCCGCGGGCGTATTTGTCACGCTGCTGATGACATCAGGTACGCGCTTTAATTGGGCGCGCTTTAGTGGACCGCGGTTTTGTCGTGCCATGCTTTGAAACAAGGTTGACCCCCTCTTCTTCATGGCAGCCCCTCAAATATTGGAACAGTGCTACCATATTTTCCCCAGTCCTTCTTTTCACTAGACTAGGCATGCCTAGTTCCTGCAACCATTCTTCATAACCGTTTCCTCCTAAGCTATAATTTACTGAATAGAGTTTGGTGTCCTGGAGAAGGTGCTGGTCTAGAAGACGAAGAGTTGTAGGTCCCCTTAGACATAAGAGCCAACTTGGATGACTTTGGACTTCCTCTCTTTCAGCCAACCCACGTCAAAAGTTTTGTAGGGAAAAGAGGAGGAAGAGGAAGGGGCATTTGGCATGTTGGCTGCCTTGCGTTGGCCAAAATATACAAGGAGTGGAATGAAATCATCAACGTCATCGGTGTTCGCATACCATTCAAGCCATTAAAAATGGTTTGCCAACTTCATGCGCTTAAGCCAAAACAAAGTCAGCCGCACAGGCTGGATTTGATCAACCTACTAACCTAAAATGAGTGGTTAGCTAATTTGTGGCTCACAGACATGTTGAGGCTCATCCAATGTTCTTCATTTCTGGTTCAATGTGTTGGATAAACTCAGGCGACTGTGTTAATCAAATAAAGATGGTTCAGTTAGCATGCTGTATGGACACAGACATCAAAGGTTAGCCTAATCCACTCAAGGGTTGATTCGCTGCTCAGAAGGGATGAAAGCTACCCATTCAATTTCTTTTGCTGTTTGTTTGTGCATGTTGTTAGTAGCCAGGCAGAAGTATTGTTGCTACTGGAGATATTATCCTGCTTTGAGCCGCACCCAGTATGTATTCAGCGTGGAGGGAGGGCTTGCCAAGAGGCTAAAGACAGCCAGATTAAAGAAAGCAGATAGAGGAACCAATAATGGAAACTCTCCTGCTTTCCCGAAAATAAGACCTCCCCGGATAATAAGCCCTCCCTCGAAACGGCCCAAGTAACGGCTTGTTTGGGGGGCATTTTTGGCTATTTTCAGGCACTCCGGTGGCCAGAAACCAGAAGAGCAGCTGGCATCGGTGTGCGTGCCCATAGAAGGGCTGTGTGTGCCACCTCTGGCACCCGTGCCATAGGTTCACCATCACGGGTCTCAAGCATGACCTGATCAGCTCTTCCTCTGTAGGCCAGAGACAAAGATCACAAATTCAGGTCAATCATCAACATTGCTGATACACAAATGAAACGCTGTTTGAAACAGAGGATAATGGATGAAAGACAAAAAGGACAAAAGACAATCCTGACCTGCCCTAGCTGCTTCTATCTTTACATGTTTGTTTATGCTAAAAATATTCTTTGGCTTGCCTAACTTCTGCTCTTGCCCATAACCTTAGATGCAAGTTTATGGCATGTCCCAGAAAACCCCAATCAGCAACACCTTCTTCTGAAAGGGAAACGAATGGAAACTGAACGAAAAGCCTTGCTTTTAGCAAAGGAAACAGCAAATTGCTCTATTTTTTCCCACCATAACCTTTTATCGAGCAGCAGGTGGGGTCCCGGGTGTTTGGGAAAGGCTACATGCCATTGTGTCAAAGTTCGAAGCAGGAAAAGTCGAGTGGCTGTCCCGATTCTATGCCAAGAGCTGACGGAGAGACATGGATCCTCTCCAGAACATTCTGGTTTCTCAAAGCAGAATAACAGGATACTCGATTACGTGCCAACTTTGATTGATGCCGTGCTTAAAATAACAAGCAAGTTAATGGAAAGGGGATGCATACTGAATTAGCCATAATAATGGATGGCTTTCTTTTGGTTTAGGTCTGGGTGGTGAAGCCCAATCAGCTTTCGTTCAAACATAAATTGTTTGCTTAATCTGGTTAGCTGGTTGGCTAAGCCAGGAGTCTCCAACCTTGGCAACTTTAAGACTGGTGAACTTCAACTCCCACAAGCTTCGCTGGCTGAAGAATTCTGGGAGTTGAAGTCCACCAATCTTAAAATTGCCAAGGTTGGAGAATCTTGGACCAATGGTGGGATTCAAAATTTTTTATTATTGGTTCTGTGGGCATGGTTTGGTGGGCATGGCAGGGGAAGGATACTGNGGGTGGGGAATACGTTAAGATCTACATCTTTTCTTCTTTTGGTTTCTCACTTTTTGTTTTTGTTTCCTGCAGCCCTTGGGTCATTGTAGCATCTGGATTGTTGATTCTGGTCTTGGTGGGTTTGGCAGCCCGATTTCTAGTGAAAAGGAGACCACCCAGCGATCCACTTTTCTATGGTAGGTATTGGTGCGTTGTGGACAAAGTGAAATGGGAGTGGCTCATCTACCATTCAAATCACACCGTAGTAAACCATAGTTTAACCACAGTTCATTGCACTAGCTGCAATTGGCTGAATTTGCGTGAATGCTAACTAATAATGTTAAGGCAAAAATCCAACATACAATGCTTTAGTGGCTTGTTACTATCAATTGTATAACACCTGTGGCTGAATTCATTCATATTCTGAATTTGCATAAAACAGTGAATGAAAATGTTTAGATCTTCTCCAGGTCTGGTTTAGCATATTGTGCAAAGACAATTGTTGTGTATTATTAATTATTGATTTGAGAAATTAAGGTTCCCTGATATAAGTTTTGGTAAGGCTGAGGCTTAGACAGTGGCCTCATTCAAATGCTGCACTAAATACATAATACAGCATTTATTTTTGACCGTGCAGTTTGCAGTCCCACCCAGGATTCAGTATGAAGCACCAGCTAAGCCCTTGTAGCCAATTCAAAACAATGACGATAAAAATAATTCTGGCTTAATATTATAGGTAAAAGTGGCCAGTGGTTGCTTTTCACAGCTCCGTCAGTTGATAGCAAAAGCTTTATTCCATGTTTCCATTTGTAACTCCACTCCCAATCCCCTCCAGCAAGAAAAGGATAGGTGAAAATAAGAGGGCTACAAATAGAGAATGGCCTTGACATCTGAACACGAGTGAAAAGCCAAGTCTGTGAACAAGGCCAGACTGTTGCAGGAAACCAATTTGTGCAACAATGCATTTGGAAGTCTTGAAAAGACCTGTGTTTTCACTTGTAATTAGAAAATGCTTTTTTCCCCCCTCCCTTCCCTGGTTTTGCTGTAGTTTATGCCGTCTTCGCTTTCACCAGCATTGTGAATCTAATCATTGGGATGGAACACGATGGGATAATTGATGGATTCATGACTTATTACTTGAAAGAGGTAAATCATTATGGATCATTAGGGGTGGAGAAAGTGGGTGGACAGCTGGGAGCCGTGGTGGCACAGTGGTTTGAATGCGGCTTTGCAGGCTGACGCTACCATCACCGTCAGGAGTTTGAGAAGGATGGAGTTCAAGGTTGACTCAGCCTTTCATCCTTCCGAGATTGGTCAAATGAGGAGCCAGATTGTTGGGGGCGATAGGCTGACTCTGTAAACTGCTTAGAGAGGGCTGCAAAAGCACTATGAAGTGGTATATGTCTAAGGGCTATTGCTATTGTCCTTCCTTCCTTCCTTCCTTCCTTCCTTCCTTCCTTCCTTCCTTCCTTCCTTCCTTCCTTCCTTCTTTCTTT